GCCACCTGCAGCCGACGTAGCCACCGCTGAGCTCCTCTCTCCGCCAGCTGCAGCCGACGCGATCACCTCCGCTCCTCTGAAACCGGAGAAGACCAAAGTCTCTCTCTTGAGAATTGGAACGAGGGGAAGGTGATTTATGCTCTGCCCCTTGAGTCTGAATCCGTTTTATTTTTTGCCCATTTCAGAAAGTTGTGATTTTGTTGGGGATTTGGCGGTAAATTTGTGAGCTTTGTGGTAAATTTGTGAGCTTTGACCTCTGAAAAGAGTGGGGAAGGCTTCTGATTCATCCCAATTTTTTGAGAAATTCCTGATCTTTTGTTATTCCCGTTGGATTGAGCATAGATTTGACATCCTTTGAATCTTCTCGTATTGCAATAGTCGATTTTTGTGGGAAATTGCTGTTAATATTGATGGGTTACTGCTTGTTGAGTAGATTTTGCCATAATTTTAGTGTATTTTGAGTAAATTTTTTTTTTTTGCTTATTCTCAGTGTCATTTGGATTTTGCTTTTGCCCAGAACTGCCATAATTTCCCATCTCAAAAATTTAATGTAAACCTTGCGGTATATAGCTTGTTTAATATCTTATACTTTTATTTGTATTTTTAAAGTTAAAATTTTGGAGACTAATACATTATGTTAAACTCCTTTATATCCGCTGCTTACATTTCCTATGTTAACTATTGTTATTCACCATATCCCAGTTTTATATTCAAAACTGCTATTAATTTCTATCTAACCACAACAAAAATACTAAGTTTGTTTTTCTTGAATTTATTTTCTTCTTTAGGAGTTTGGAATGGAGGAAACAAATTCAAATAGTGTAGAGTTCGGAATGGGAGAATCAAGTGTTATTGGAAGTGAAACTGCAGCCAATTCTGTAAATGCTCCTAAACCACTACTAGGAATGAAGTTTAATAGTCATGAAGAAGCTTATAACTATTATAATTCTTATGCATTGTTGATGGGTTTTGGAATAAGGAAGAGCACTGTGAATTACTCTCGCAAGACTAGAGAAGTGGTAGACAGAAATTTTGTTTGTGATAAGGAGGGCTATAAACCTAATAGTGGCAAGATAGAGATCCCTCTTCGGCGAGAGACCCGAGTGGGATGTAAGGCAATGATGCGAGTTAAATTATTGGAGGACAAATCGTGGGAGGTCACGGGGTTTGTTGAAGAACATACAAATCATGTGTTGAGTAGTCCAGACAAAGCAAAAATGCACAGATCACATCAACAATTCCATAAAACTCAAAGATGTAAAAAACTTATTGATAGTCTGCGAGAAGAAGGTATGCCTCCTTCCACTATTTCTCGCGTTATCAATGCAACCAATGGAAGAGACGGTGAATTTGTGACATCACAACAGTGCATTGATCATATCAGAACCCAAAGAGTCAACAATATTGGTCATGAATGCATATCTATCATTCGACATTTTCAGAGTATGACAGCGAATGATCCAGAATTTTATTTTGCAATAGAAGTAGACAGTAGTGGACAAATGAGGAGTGTATTCTGGGCCGACGGAAGATCAAGAGCATCTTATTTGCAATTCAGTGATGTTATTGCGTTTGGTGTGACATACAGAACTAATAAGTTCGGTCTTTCATTTGCTCCATTTACTGGTGTAAATCACCATAGGCAGTCCACTTTACTTGGTTGTGCATTATTAATCGATGAACAGAAAGATACCTTTGTTTGGTTATTTGAAGAATGGCTGAAATGCATGCACGGCATTGAACCAGGTGCTATTATAACAGATCAGGATAGAGCAATGTGTAATACTATTAACTCAGTGTTTCCAACGACAAGACATCGTTATTGCTATTGGCACATGCAAAAGCATATTATTGATCATTTGCCTACTTTGGTATCTCGTTATGGTGAACAGTTTCAAAGGTATTGGGGCTTGTGGTGCAATAGTTCTTCAACTGGAATGAGATCAAGCCAAAGGAGTGAAAGTATTAATGCATTTTTTGATGGGTATGTTAACTCACAGACTCAGTTACACGAGTTTGTGACACAATATGAAAAAGCAGTAACTCATCGTCGCTTAAGTGAAGCCCATGAAGATTTTAAGAGTCTGAACACAAAGCCGGTTATGCTCCTTGGACATCCAATTGAGATCCAAGCTGGAGAAATGTATACACGCAATATGTTTGATGTGTTCCATACTAAATTCAAAGGATTTGGTACAGATTTCTGTGAAGAATTGAGAAAAGATGGGGACATTGTTGAATACAAGGTCTGTAAGTTTACAGATAGAGGAAAATGGGAGGTGGTTACTTATGAACAGTCCAGTCAGATGCAGTTGCGTTGCACTTGTGCTTTGTTTGAAACTAATGGTGTGCTATGTAGACATATATTATCGCTAATGATGGCTAGGCAAATGGATTCATTACCCGACCACTACATCCTACACCGTTGGACCATACATGCAAGGCATCGTAACATTGGGGTTGGCAACATCGTATTTGGAAGAAACATCACCAGCTGTGAAGGGAAGAATAATTTATTGAAATCTTGGGCTTTAAGAGCAAAATTCAATAATGTGCTCGAGCTTGCATTTGATTCAGAAGAGACGCTGCAACAACTTGATGATGTGCTAACAAAGTTCATGGAATCACTTGAAGAAGAAGTTGGAGAAACTCAAGATCAATTGATGGATGATGTGCTAACAAAGTTCATGGAATCACTTGAAGAAGAAGTTGGAGAAACTCAAGATCAATTGATGGATATTCCTCAACCTTCCGCACCCATTTCACATACAATAGAGAACATTCCTCAGATAACAGTTCGTGATCCTGATAGACCTGCAAGGACTAAAGGTCGTCCACGCAATGCTACTAGAATCCAGTCAGGTTTAGAACAGGCACAAGAAAAGAAAGAAAGGAAGAAACGCATATGTAGCAGATGTGGTGAACTCGGGCATTATAGAACTAGTTGTAAAGTTAACTTGCAAAGGTACCATTTTCGTTGATATTCAGTTTTAACCCTATATAAGTTTATGAAACTTGATAGCACAAAGTCATATCTCATGATTAATTTGTCATATAATTTGCAGCTAAACATATGCTCGGGTGGTGAATGTATTGGTTTGTTCAAAAAGTCATATCTCATGATTAATGTACGTATGATTGCTTACATTTTTGTGTATCAATCTTTAACAATGCTTTATTTACTCTGTTTTTAACTTTTAACAAACAATTTATTTGCTTGTGCATGTGTTTCTCTTACAGCGCTACCACTAACACAGGAACAAGCACAAGCAGCTCAGGTTCATCCACAACTGTTGCTGATTGTCTTGTAGCTGCTGATGTATTTCTACATTTTATGTATTAAGACTGATTGTGTTAAGACTGATTGTGTCTTGTAGCTGCTGATGTGTTAAGACTAATGTATTAAGACCGATGTGTATGCTGATTGTATGTTGCTGATTGTTGCTGATTATATGTTGCTGCTTGTATTAAGACCGATGTTCTATCCACAACTCTGTCTTGTTGCTGATTGTATGTTGCTGATTGTTGTCTTGTAGTCCATTACTCTATACATTGATAAAGTACGAGTCATGCTTATAACAAGGGTTCAAACTTTGTCCTTGCGACTTTATAGGATCATCTAGCAGCTAGCTTGCTTCATGATTTGTCTTTATTAATGGAGCTTAATAAGGCGCTCTGTTTGATTGGATTTGAATTGAACCCTCTCCGTCTTTAAGGTTGTTCCAGATACTTTGGAACCAAGTCTCCAGTTAGCAGCTGCGGTTCTTGCACAGGTAAAAATGAAACTAGCTACAGCTGGTGCTGAAACTATGTGAACTCAAGCGTTTCTTTTTAATTATCATGTCCATTTCTCTATTCAACCTGCCTCTGTATGTATGATTTCTATGCAAAGAGATGAAAGAAGCTGACCATATAAGTTAGGAATCCTTGTCACTTAATGTGAGATAGACAAAATTTTAGGGACATTCGAAGATCATATTGAGAATAAACTTGTTAAACTGGACCATTTTAACTGAGAAACTTGTTGCTAAAAAATGATCTCTAATTCCGAGCGTAAATCAAAGTCAGAAGTGGAGGACATAGATCAAAATGTAGGGGAAAGGATTCATATGCATACCCTGTCATATTAATCAAGTAAGCTTAAATTTCACAACTCTGTCCACAACTCTGTACTTAAAAAAAACACGCACACACACAATGAAAAGCATTCGTAACTAAAACAAAGGGAATCAACTTAGTAACAGAACATCCATAGCAGCGCAGATTGTTTGAGATACAATCACATAAGTTCTCACAATCACATAAGTTCTTACAAATACATAAGTTCTCACAATTTCACAATCACAACGATACATATTACAAACACTAATATTGTAAACACTGAACCTAATGCAAAAACATAGATGAGGGAAATAGTAGTTCTTGAGCTCGATGCAGAATCAGGTGTCGGGACATAAAAAGGTGTTTGGACATGCCTTGAGTTGGATGCTGAATCACAAGCGATGCTGTGCTTACCCCATTCAACCAAAGCCTCTTCGTACGTTGCATACCCTTTATATGCGGCATTTGGGAATTTATCAACTTGCTTTTTACAGTCCTCCCAATTATTAAAAATTCCACATCGTCGACCTCTCTTCACAATGTAAAAACTCTTTCTTGCCATGGACCACCTAAAAAATTATGGTTTGAAGCAAAATCACAGTAAAAACTCTCTTAATTTCTTTGTGGAAATAAGAGAAATTATAAGTCCAAATACAACATCGAGAGAGAACTCATCTATACATGGCAGTAGCATATACTAAACATGGTAGTAGCATATACTTTATTAAATTGTGTTTTTTGTTCTATGTATATTAAACATGGCAGTAGCATATACTTTATTAAATTTGCAAAAGTAGCCCAAATACAACATCGAGAGAGAACTCATCTATACATCATAATCAATTAGGAACCATGTTCATTTCAAGCTCTTAATCTAGTTAATGACAAAAACATCATTGGTAGTCACTAGTGAGTAGATGATAATGCTCGAAAACATCTAGGGATGCATAAAATTAATTATTTCCTTCAGTTTCTACTAAGTAAAGGAGTATCCTACATCCAATACACGCGACATGCACAAGGTATTAACCAATTTACACTGCTTCAGCAGTTCATTATCCGATCCGCAGCATCAATAAGAAACCCTAGCATGAATAACTACACATTAAAGCTATAGAGAAAATCCATACATCTTCATGAACCATGGCTCCTCGGAAAGTAATCTAAACGCGAAATCATCAGCGGATGCAGATTCAAGAAGTATTCGTCAATTGAACACCGATTCTACTTAGAATGAGCCGAAGATTCAAAGCGATCGTCGTTTTCTCAAAGTTTCAGCTTCTAATCTTTCAAACATTTGATCTATCCAAGAATCGCCTCGATTCTCCATTTCCGATCGAATCAACAGCAAAGACATAGAAAATTCAAAAAATCAAAAACAAAAAAAAATCAAAGAACTGACCTTAGAATCGAGCTATGGTTTAGGAAATCGACAGTGAGCGGATGCAGGTGGCGGATAGAGGAGCTCAGCGCTCAGCGGTGGTCGCGGTGTCCACAAGGAGGGCGGAGGTGCTCGTGTCAGAGAGAGGAAATGGGGAGAGAGAGCGGTGGTCGGTGGCTCGCGTCGGAGAGAGGAACTGGGGAGAGTGAGCGGTGGAGAGAGGAACTGGGATTTGAGATCTGGGAGAGAGGAGCTGGAGAGAGATTTGGGGAAAGAAAAATGGAGAGAGGCGCTGGAGAGAGAGATTTGGTCACGAGAGAGTTTTTCTTGGGACTGGCGGAGCGAGGCATTTTTTCAAATCACCCCCTGCAGCGCACAAATCTCATGAGCTGCCAGCGCACCCCAAAAGCAACAAATCACCTCCTGCTCCCAGAAAAACCTAAGGAGAAATCACATATATATATATATGAATTCGGGTGGGCCTTGGTAAGTCACGTGGGCTAGGGAGTTGTCCGCTGGCTTTTTGTCCGCTGGATGCTTCATTCACGCGGATTCTTTTCCAGCTCGTGGTCCCCACAATAAATGCGTTCACACAATTCTCCACCTCGATGAAGTTTTCTCAAAACTGAGCCAACACCATAGCATCCAAATGTCCCAACTTATTGTGTCCAGTACGAACTCAATTCACAACAAGTCGAGAACCCGAACGAGAGTCCAAACAATCTCACCCCCATCAAAATCAACTAATCCAAACCGGCTGCATCTGAAAGACTGCCTTCGTATCCTCTTGCCCAAGGAATCAAGCCGAACGTAGTTCACTCAAATGACCTCCAACGGCCTCAACAATCACGAATGTGCAACAAGCTTCGACAATGATCAAACTTGTTGCTTGGAACCACCTTAGTGAGCATATCCGCCGGATTATCCTTCGTGTGGACTTTCACTATCTCCACATCGCCATATTCAAGAACATCCCGAACGAAGTGATAACGAACGTCAATGTGCTTCGTCCTCGCATGAAAAACCTGATTCTTCGCCAAATAGATAGCACTCATGCTATCACAATGAATAGTGACGGACCTCTGCGATATACCAAGTTCCTCCAAAAGTCCTCGAAGCCAAATAGCCTCCTTCACAGCCTCCGTAACTGCCATATACTCTGCCTCCGTCGTAGACAAAGCCACCGTCGACTGTAAGGTGCATCTCCAACACACCGGCGCACGGGTCAAAGTGAACACATACCCCGTCGTAGACCGGCGCTTATCCAAATCCCCGGCATAATCCGAATCAACATAGCCAATGCATAGCTGCCCACCTGTAGTGTCCCGCTCATAAACCAAACCAACATTGAGCGTACCTCGAATGTACCTCAAAATCCATTTCACAGCATCCCAATGACCCACTCCTGGATCGTGCATGTATCTCGATACCATGCTTACTGCATGTGACAAATCTGGTCTCGTACATACCATCGCGTACATCAAGCTCCCAACCGCACTCGCATATGGAGTCTTCGACATCAACTCATGATCTTCAACTAACTTTGGTGAAAGATCAGCTGAAAGCTTTAAATGGGCTCCCAAAGGTACACCAACTGGCTTCGTATCCATGCTAACATGGAATCGCTGTAGAACCTTCTTCAAATAAGCCATCTGTGTCAAACAAATTCTGCCCTTCTTCTTGTCTCTGCCGATCTCCATCCCTAGAATGCGCTTCGCCTCACCCAAGTCCTTCATCTCAAACTCATTTGAAAGCTGAACTTTCAACTCATCTATAGCCAACCTGAAAATAGAGGCAACCAACATGTCATCGACATAGAGCAACAAATAAATGTACGCATCTCCTTTCAACTTGCGAAAATATACGCAAGGATCAAACTGGCTCCGAGTGTACGAATGACCAATCATAAAACCATCGAATCGCCTATACCACTGTCGAGGAGACTGCTTCAAACCGTATAGCGATTTCTTCAACCTGCAAACCAACTTATCTTTCCCTGCAGCTCGGAATCCCAATGGCTGAGTCATATATATTTCTTCATCAAGATCATCATGAAGAAATGCCGTCTTCACATCCAACTGATCTAACTCCAAACCATACTGTGCCGTCAAAGCTAGCAGAATCCGAATCGAAGAGTGCTTCACCACCGGAGAGAAAACCTTATTATAGTCAATACCTTCCTCCTGTGCATAGCCCTTCGCAACCAACCTAGCCTTGAATCTCAACGGAGTGCCTTCAATGCCCTCCTTCTTCGTGTATACCCACTTGCAACCAATTGCCTTCCGCCCCTTTGGAAGCTCAACAAGCTCCCATGTATCGTTCTTATGAAGAGATTCCATCTCCTCCTGCATAGCCACCTGCCACGAATCAGCCTCCGAACTCTGTTCGGCCTCTCTGAATGTAGTAGGCACTAACTCATCGATACTCTCCACCGGAAGTGCATACGCAACTGTGTCGGCATACCGTGCTGGCATCTGTATGTTTCTCCTCTGTCTCCGAACCGCAATAGAATCCTGAACCTGAGCCGTCGGTTCCTGATCCTGCACATTTGTACTCATATCCTCCGTGTTACCGTCGTGCTCGCCTG